GCGTCAGATATTATGAGGATTTTCTTTGTTTGGATGCACATTGCTCTGTGCCTGTGAGTGTGCTTGAATATAGGTATTGGAGGTCTTCTCCTTGACTTGCAGCTCTAGATGCCCTCATCTGTGTCTCTTTTGCTTCATTCCTCTTTTGCTTCATTCCTCTTTTGCTTCATTACTCGAATTGTCGAAACCTCCATTTTCCTGTTGCCCGGTTTTTCCTCGTTCTCACTTGTTTCCCTTATATCATCAACCTATTACTACTTCTGATTTTCCTCAATCATCGTTCGCTTGACAAAGGATGGTCATGCTGCTTGACTCGCTTACGATGAAGCTACCATGCTAGTATGGTATAAAAATGCCTCTGATCTCCGCAAGCAGACAAGCTTGCTTCTCTTTCTCTTGCACAACTCATGTTTCCATTCTCCCCTAGACTTCCCAGACAGTATACCTGGAGCTCCACATTGGGCAATGTGGGTGATCGCTAAATCAAGGTATTGACGCCTTAGCGAGTATCTTCTGGCATGATGTTACACATACAATCCTTCGTATCTCGATGTTTTTGCACAATCCCATCGCTTAGAAGACGCTATGTCTCTGGGTCGACTTGATGGGAAAGGCGGCGTTGGTTAGTTCTACTAATTTTCTCGTAAGAGAGAGCTTGCGGCCTTTTTGCCCCTTTGCCCCCCCCTTTCTTTTTGGTTGCAGTGTCAACTATGAGATGAAACCTTTCGCAATGGCACAGTACGTTTATAACACAGGGGAGTCAGTTAGCATTTCTAAGCTGAGTTCGGAAGAAGATAGTAGTTCAAGTTCAGTTAAAAATATGCCGGTTATATAATCAGCGGGTCGGAGGATCCCATGCCCCGGAATTGATGAGCATCATCGGTCGGCACTGTTTTGCTTCAGAGCATACGCGCTTCCACCCCGACGACAATCCCCACCAAGAAGCCGATAACCCCGGTCTCTCTTGCTGCGTCAGCTGCAGACCAAATTATTATTTCGCTTCGCTTGGTTGAATTCCGTGTGGAGCAGCCCTTGAGGACCTAGCACTTTCCCCGATGGCTGACTACGAACGTCGACCTCATGGCCCAAGGGGTGGTCGCAAGAGACGCTATAGAGGTTAGTAGCACCATTCGCTCACTAGAATGAGATTCATGGCTGCTTTACTTCAGTTTGTGCTGTTCTGTCATCTGTATCCTTGCTTTACCCTGGGCAGTTGCTATTCTTGCTTACAGATGTGTATGGAACGTCCAGATGATGACGACTACGACCGCCGCCAGCGGCGCAGACACGAGGAGCCTTTATTTGTCAAAGTTCGGAGGCAGTTGCTCACAATTGCCGAATCTGTACGATTTCCTGCAATGACATGGCTCGCGTCCGTGTAGTAGCCCCAGTCCTCGAGCTTACCTTTTACACTTCTCTCCAGGCCGCCCGAAGAGCAGAGGACGACGCTATCCATATTGCGAAGACTGTGGCTGAGAACTACGGTGATGATGAAATCAGAGGGGTGTACCTTGAAACTGCAATCGACCTGTATGCAACTACCTATGTGAATGAGTATAGCCTGGCCCGGAGCTAACACTCACTAAACAGTGTCCTTGAGCAGCCATTGAAGATCCCCTTCATTGCGGCAACAGTTCTTGCCGCAAATGTCTTGAATCCAGAGCCCGTCTCAGAACTCCTGACGAGGGCGGGTGAAGCTCTGCAAGGATACGTTAATGCTGGTGCGTGGCGTGAAGTCAAGCTCCTCCTGCGCTTCCTCGGTTGCCTTCAGGGTATCCTTGAGGGAGATGGTATCTTTCCCTTGTTGGAGGAAATCTTTGCACGCGCAGTCGACCTTCAAACAGCCTCCTCTGAAGATGCGAGTAGCCCGGTAGCACATTTCTTCGTACTGAGTAGATGCTAACTGTCTGCGACAGTTGCTCGGTTTGGAACTCGTCAAAATTATCCTCTTCACCTTGCCATATGTAATGGCATCCCCAGCGACCCGCTTCGAGACCCATGCTACTGCCCTCCTTGAAAAGACAGACATCATCGCATCTACTCCGCATGCTCTTGTGGATCTTGTGGACCCATTCTGTCTCACCGAAGGCAAGCCGGCGGCCACGGAGAGCGTAATCAGCTTGATGCAGAAACAGTTACAGGGCGAATCGAATCGGTCTTGGGAGCTCGCATGCCTTCCTCGCCCATGGAAACGAATCTATGAAACCCTCGAGGCTCAGAAAGAAGCCCAAGACGAAGGTGCTCAAGATGAGGAAGAAGCCGAATCTGCAAGCACTACGGCACCCGGCGCAAAACATGCTTTTCCGCAAGTCGTCATGCCAAGTCCTGTCGGCCACGGAGCGAGAGCAATCTTTCCGGAGATCTACCTCTCTGTCTATGCGAACCAAGACATCGAGACGGTACCTCCAACATCGGATATTGCCTCCTCTCTGCTGCGTGACTCGCTCGTTGACACTATCAACATTCTGGACTTCAACCGAATTGCAACTGCGAAGTATCTAATTGACGTGGATTGTTATTTCACCCCAAATACCTTCGTCAAGCGGGCCACGCCTTTTGATCGCTTGCGTGAATTGCCCACTGATCGCCCGCAATGGAAGCCGGAAGACGTTGCCGTCGATGCAGTATTCTCTCAATTATTCCAGCTGCCATGCCCAGAACACAAATTCATCTACTACCACTCAGTACTTACCGAGTGCTGCAAGATTGCTCCAGCCGCCATCGCTCCAAGTTTGGGCCGAGCTATTCGTTTCCTATATCGCAGCCTTGAGAGCATCGACCTTGACCTCAGTCAGCGATTTCTGGATTGGTTCTCCCATCATTTGAGTAATTTTGGTTTCACTTGGAAATGGAGTGAATGGTAAGATAGAGCAATCTCCATTGGCTTCCGCTGGTAAGCTAACTTGGTTATCAGGATCGAGGATCTGGATTTACCTGCAGTCCACCCTCGAATGGCTTTCATAACCGGAGCGCTCGACAAGGAGATCAGATTAAGTTTTGCTCAGCGCATCAGAGGAACTTTACCGGACCCATATCAAGAATTGGTTACGGAGGGGAAGGAGAAAGACACACCTGATTTCAAGTACATGTCCGACAGTATGTTTATCATGCCCCATATCTTACCCTTTATTCTCTTCCCTCTCGCTGCTCTACTATCTCCCGGTTGGTCTCATCGACATGACCAGTGAATTGACACACTGTCCAGCTACACCGTATTCGAACGAAGGCAAGGAAATTATGCAGCTTGTTCGAAAGAAAGCGAGCGACGAGGAGATACAACCCTTTATCGATGCGATAGAAGAGCAAGCTAAGTCTTTAGGGGTCGAGGATCCGCTGATTCCATCCACCGACGCATTTGTCACGGCGATTTGCTTTGTGGGATCCAAATCTCTATCTCATTTCCTCTCATGCATTGAGCGTAACAAGGAGCGACTATTGGCCATCGGCCCTAAGTCACCTCGGGCTCAGCGTCAAATTATCACATCCGTCATGGATTACTGGGTCGATCAGCCAGGCATCGGTATAAATATTATCGACAAACTCCTGAATTACACCATCCTTACACCGCTGTCAGTTGTCGAATGGGCCCTAGTCGACAAGCTCGAGGCAGGTACGGTTCTCGCCAAACCGCACGTCTTCGAGATGATATCCGCCACCGTTGGGAAGGTCACAAATCGCCTACGACAGATCGTTGCTGCCCGTACTCAGCCTAGTTTGTACGAGCCTCAATTGAGCGTCCTGGACGAGACTCTGAAACGCGAAAAGACCGATATGCAGGCTCTTTTCCGGGTAATTGAGGACTCCATCGTGTCGGTTGCTGGCGGCAGTAATGACGAACTGATGGAAAGGGGGGACGGAAGTGGTACCTTACCTGAAGATGAGATCATCCGGCGCTGGGGTCAGCGATGGCTCAGGGTATTCCGGCGCAAAGCTGGCGTTGAGGAGTCCTTCATTGTCGAGGCCTTGGTCGGAGCAGCTCCGGTCGGTAGGGTAGCACCTACTCCGGTCCCTGATGATGCCGCCGCTTCGGAGCATGCCCCGTTGAACGGAGATATGGATATTGTTGAGGGTGATGGTGGAAAATAAGAAGTCTACAAGGTCCGAGTGGTAATTTCCAGTTCTCTGTGGTATGATAGGGACCGTCTGTATTTGTCTAAATTGGGCTTGGTTCTTGCTTTGTATCCATAGGTGCGTATGTGTATGTGTTGTTGTAAGATCAATCAAGCCAGCGAATCAGCGCAATTTAGAGTGACATGTATGGGTTCCCTCTGATCGAATCTTTTGGAAGATATCCAGAAAAAACACCCCAACCATGATAGATAGAAGCTTGATGTTCTGGGCGTCGGTGACGTGGTGTAGAGGCAGGCTCATTTCAAGAAAATCCACAAGGACAGGGCGAAAGGGGCTCGGCTAAGAAGTTCCAGATGTCAGCGAGCCACGAAAGAAACACCAAAGCCATGCTCCGCATCATGTAGTCTTTCCATGCTGTCTTCCCATAAAATGTCGCTGTCGTCGTCAATTCAATTTTAGGTTTCGACTGCTCTAGACTCGTGATTGTATTGCGTCCGAAGATCCAATAATCTATTTGTTTCCAGTTCTGGGGTCGGGAAAAAATATATAAAATGTATGTACAAGCAGAACTGCAGGGATACCTAACTGGAGCGTTGAGGGTAACTCCGAAGTCGCGCCACCAGCGCAGCTTAATGAAGCACTTTGACAACGAACGTAAGGTACGGAACAGGCATTAATAAGACAACCATCATACCAGAAAGTGTGTTGTACAGTGGTGATTAGGAAGTGTGATGGCGATAGCAAAAAAAGTGTTGTGAAAGCAAGAACCATGAACTCGTGAGGCCACCCTGCCATGGAGCAGACATCAGTTGGTTGGAATCAATTTCGCATATACTCGATTCCGACGCCGTCAAATCATGATCCCGAGACGTTTTGGGGCAACCGTGGATTTGTTTCTTCTCGAGCCCTCGAGGCCAACGATGAGCGTTGGCTGCGCATGTATCGGATCATTCCAAAGGGGGGGGTTGGAAGAGCCAGGACGAAATCTAAAACCGACAGGCTGATTTGGGGTCCCTGTATTGATTGTGATGGGCGAGCTTGGAGACACATAGATGATTCTTGTGTTACAGTCTTTTCTTGGTCTCTCCGTCGGCCAAGTAGCTCCGATCATCCTCGCCTTCGACCGTCTGGAGAATGGTCTCCATCTCTTTCGTTTGCCGCTTCCATTCTTCCTGGTCATTTTTGGTCTCGCGGCGGAAGAGCTCCTCGTTTGGCTTCCGGTAGCTGCCACCCAGACGATCCCACAGAGTAGTGAATTGACCGTAGTTATAGTTGAAGTAGAGATGATGCATTGTATGGCAGGCGGCCCCGTTGACGACTGGGCTGTTGGCCACGTATTCACCATCATGAATAAGTACAGTCCAGAGATTAATGAACCCGAAAAGGAAGACGTATGCAAGTTTCTGAAGGGGAAAGATGAAGGGGAAGACGTGATAGGGAACGCTCTGGGACCAGCCATCAAGCGGGTGAAAGGCGTGGGATGCGAAGGGACTGGGCATGATCCACTTGTGGTGAGGCTTGTGTAGTGTCTTGTAAATTAAGGGATGGTGCAAGCCACGGTGAATCCAGTAGATGCAAAGATCCGTAAAGGCAATGAATAGTGGGAATTGCAGGACGCTGTAGTAGGGGAAAGGCTCCTCATCAAAAGTATCGTAGAGTTTGGCGTAGCCACGGACTTCAGCGACTAAAAAGGGAGCCGTCAACAGTGACATGACCGGCATCGATTGCATTGTTTGCGCGATTTCCATGGGGATTTGATTCTTGAGAAACTTGGGGTGGCGAACAGTAGTCTTGTCCCAAATGAAGATATACGAGAGTGTGGCACAAATGAAGTAGACAATCAGACCAAAGATCCTAATATCGTGATAGTCTCAGTTAGCAGTGAGAATGCGCGACAGGTGGGGGATCGCATCACATACCAGACGATCAGAAAAAAGCTGAGAAACTGACGATAGATGTTGTTCCTCGGCCAAGCGCTCAGGTAGGCGTATTTACTGGGCTCCAGAGAGAACAGCTGCGTGGCCGGTTCATAGACGTAGGGTTCGGATGCACCGAAAAGAGACAGTGTGCTATTGGCAGCCGTGTTAAGCCCTGGAATTGAGACAGAGGACGAGAGCGACAGAGGGAGGAGGGAGGAGTAGAGGCGATCACCAATGAAGGTGTCCCAAATTTCGAGGGCGATATCCATAATTGTTTGCTGATCGCCACAGGGGAATGGTGAACGGAGACAGAGAGAGATGGTGGCTCTCGACAGTAACAACCGTCCACAAGGATTAGAAGACCTTCGCTGGGGAATCGAGTAGAAGATAGAGACGAAGGAAGTATGGTTTTCAGGGACCTTAAATGAAAGGAAAGGGAAAGAACAAAAAAGAGGAGAGGGGGGGGATGAGGGGAGGAGGAGGAAGAGTACGGTAGTAGGAATTAGGAAGAGTTAGAAAATGAAAGAGGGAAGAAGAGGTACTGTAGTACGGAGCCAAAAGTAGGGGTAAATTTAGTTTGCCGTGAAGAGTAAGTTAATACCTAGCTAGTTAGAAGAAATAATGCAGGCACCGGTGGAGTATCCGATACAAGGAACGCCAATCAACTTAAATGGTCTGTTCAGGACGGAGGGATCACACCAGAGCGGAACAAACCCAACCGCTCGTCATCGATAATTTGTTGCTGGCTATTCGCCTCTAGTGGGAACGGAGTATACAAGTAAACCCAATATATAATAGGTATGTTCATGGATTGAGCACATGTATGTATCTATAATTCTATAATAGACTCACTTATGCACCAAGCCAGCTTAGGCTTTCTAAAAAAAAGAAAAAGTAAAAGTAAAAGTAAAAGTAAACCAGATGCAAGTGGATGTTGATGATACTCTTTAATAAATGTCAAGCGAGTTAAGCCTGCTGAGTACTGGCGCGGCTATATACCTACGGTAGTTACTTGTAGTATCACTAGCCGCGAGCAATCCTCCTCAACTCAGACAGGTTACCAAGATCAATGATACTGATAATCCGTCAAGTCTTGCCCGTCAAGCCGAATGAAAAAGCTGATCTGGTCAATAAGAGATTAATTCTTAACAGTTGACCACCGAGTACTGAGCCATTGATACAACAGTGCTTGCTGCTCCGTAGCCGGCCAAGAAATGGTTGGTCAACTGGCCAGCAGCGCTTGGTTTGTGTCCGGAGCTGCAGCCGCTCGCTTGGAGCGGCAAACATGGGTGGCGATTGGGTAGCGGGGATATCCCAGCGGAGTTCCGTACTTTGCCTAAACCGAACTGTCACCTCATCTGAATCGACACCCTTCTCCTCCAGGCTCCTCCCCTTCCTACCTCAGCCTCAGAAACTCAACCACCCGCTCCCTCATTTCATCCACCACTTCCTACCCTTTCACCCTCCCCCACCCCCAAAGACACCACCACATCATATTCAATTCATTTACAATCACCCTGGCCCCTCCCCTCCCTTGTCCCACTTCTCTTCTCCTCAATTACCTCTCCCTCAGCTTCACCTCTACCTCGATCGGTTCCAAAGCTGATCCCCTTTTTCTTTATCATCGAAACCTTGATCTCAACTTAAGCTCACTACTGCGCCAAATCCTTCAGGGCGCGCTGTAATGTGGCTGCGTTGACTGATTACCCCTTTTCAGTCTCTGTGGCCCTGTCACCAAAACCTGTTATCCTCGTCGTCCATCACAGACAACAAACAACAGATATAACCGTTAGGCGGAGCAAATCGACTTTCTTGCTTCTCTCATCCCACCGCATCCTCCCTCCTTCTTCTCCCCTTCGCTCTCTCACCTGGGTTTTCTTTGCCTTTTGTCCTCGTGTTTCTCCCCGAAAATCGATCTGTCAGAGTCGTTTCTCTGGCTTCTTCACGCGACAGCACTGAAACATAACTGTGCGCTATGTATAACACTCATCGCGGGATGGTTCCCGCTCCCAACTCTCGCCTGACAGAGTTGTTGGACCAGCTCCGTCAGGAATTTGAGAACCAATCCAGAAGCACTGGCGAGTTTGAACACCAGTGTACGTCTGGCCTTTTTTTATTTTAACGTGGCTCCCTGCATTGGTTCTGCGACCAACTATCTCCCTTACCTCCTCGATCGCGTTACAACGATCTACTGGAGGGGAAATCGGAGGGAATTAGAAAAACAACTCACATAGGGCCACTTCCTCGAGGTGCCGCTTGCTAATCGAATGTCTAGTAACCGGACAGCTGCAGGAAATGGAAATGATTCGGCAAAAAATCTTTCAGCTGGAGCAGACGCAAGTGAAGATGAAGAACGAGTGCGTGACCTATCACATCCGGGGATTACTTTGAGTGCGCATGACACAAGGAAAGCTAATGCCTGTTGCTTCGCAGCTATGAAGCGGAAATTCGAGTGCTGCGACACGAGCTTGAGTCTCGCGGTGTCCAACCCGTCTCATCGCATATCACCGGCCCTGCTCAGCACGCTGGCCCTTCCCAGGCGCCGCCGCCTGCCTTGGGTCATGGTCCGAGCAACTTGTTCGGCGGTATCATGACCAATCAAGGAGGTAGTGGCCCCGGTCTTGCCCCTCCCCCTCCCCAGGATCAGCAGCCTCCCCAGCATACTCTTCAACAACCTGCTGCCGCGGCTCAGCAAGGAGCGCCGCAACCACCGCAGAGCTCGTTCGGAGGATATCAACCTGGTGCTGCTGTGAACGGTACGTTGCGACTTGGCATTGGAAACAGAACTCCTAGTGACTAACTTGGCTGTGCCTTACCATTGTCCAGGCTATGGACCCCCTCCTCCACCTGCTGCCTCCCCAGGTCCTGGTAAGCGGCCTCGCGCCCCTCCTGGCCCGGCTACCCCCCAGCAGACCCATCAGCTCGCTTATCCCGATCCACGCGTCTCCCCGCAACTGGCTCGGCCGACCCCTCCTACTCAGTCATTGGTCCGCGATCGCCCTGGGAACATGCTTGCCAACTGGAACCCCGACGAGCTACCGGCTTCACAGAAGCGGGAGGGCGCTGATTGGTATGCTGTGTTCAACCCGGAAGTGCAGCGCGTACTAGATGTCGAACTTGTCCATCATCTCGTCCACGACAGCGTCGTCTGCTGTGTCAGATTTAGCCGAGATGGCAAATACCTTGCCACTGGCTGTAACCGTCAGGCACAGATTTACGATGTTACTAGCGGTCAGGTTGTCGCCACTCTGCAAGACGAAACAGTCGATAAGAACGGCGATTTGTACATTCGCAGCGTTTGCTTCAGTCCGGATGGCAAGTATCTTGCTACGGGTGCGGAAGACAAACAGATTCGGGTACGTCTAGCTCTGCATCATCCTTAGGAGGCGAAAGCTTGCCTGGCAGCATCGCCTTTCCACCCCTACTCATCCTCCTTGTTTACTGCGCATGAGCTTTGTTTTCTCCCCTTGGCCCAACCGCCCGAAACTTGCTATATGTTACGGATTCGCCTACAAAAGGCAATTGGCCAAACCCACCTACTACAGAAGCTAATTAATGTTTTCCAGGTTTGGGACATCAGTTCTCGGACTATCAAGCACGTTTTCAGTGGCCACGAGCAGGACATCTACTCTCTGGACTTTGCGGGCAATGGCCGCTATATTGCTTCCGGCAGTGGAGATAAGACTGTCCGTCTTTGGGACATTCTCGACGGCAAGTTAGTTTACACCCTGAGCATTGAAGATGGTGTGACCACTGTGGCCATGTCACCTGATGGTCATTACGTCGCTGCGGGTTCCCTCGACAAGAGCGTTCGGGTCTGGGATACGACCACCGGCTACCTTGTGGAGCGCCTGGAAAATCCTGATGGCCACAAGGATAGTGTCTACTCGGTTGCATTTGCACCCAACGGTAGAGACCTCGTCAGTGGCAGTCTCGATAAAACCATCAAGCTCTGGGAGCTCAATGTTCCCCGTGGCGCGTACCCGGGGAGTGGAGTCAAAGGCGGAAAATGTGTCCGTACCTTTGAGGGTCACAAGGTAATTTGTCTTTCTGCTATCACCGCAGCTTTGTAGTAGCTAACTTTGTCAGGATTTTGTGCTCAGTGTTTGCTTGACCCCTGATGGCCACTGGGTTATGAGTGGCTCCAAGGATAGAGGCGTCCAATTCTGGGATCCAATCACTGGCAACGCACAGATGATGCTTCAAGGTCATAAAAACTCAGGTACGTTCTCCCGACGATACGTTCTCCCGAGCAACCTTGCTATTTGGTGTGCTTCCTAACTGACCCCTTTTCTAGTCATTTCTGTGGCTCCTAGTCCCACCAACAATCTATTCGCTACAGGCAGCGGTGATATGCGGGCAAGAATCTGGAGGTAAGTCCCAGTACCCGTGATCATAAGATCAGCATCATGAGACGGAGGGTTTCCCACCTGTTTGATACCTTTCATGAGCGTTGCTAATCATTCTGGTCTTTCCTCTTCTTTTGTCTTCTAGATACTCTACGTACACCGGACGGTAATTGGGCTGAACATGGGAAAGCCTTGGCGCAAATGTGAAATGTCTTCTGTCTTCGTAACTGCTGTTCTTGCCTTGATTTTGAAACTTGCTGCTCCTCGCTTCGTTCTGCTTCAGGGTGTTTGCGTTGCCGAAGGATGATCGCGTCCTTCCCCGACTCCCGCGCGCGGTTGGGTAAGTGGCCATCCTACAGGGCTGGTCTTTGGCCTCCAAAAGCGCAGCCCAATAATCAAAAGCGAAATCAGTCTACGGGCTGTGTTGGTAGTAGTCACCCGCTGAATTTCCGGTAATGAATTTGTCTTCAAAAGAGGCTAATTGCCTTAATGATGAAAGCACTGTGAATCGTGAATGATATATGTGTAGACTTCATGCTATCTACATGGTAGCTTGGGGAGGGTGGCACAACTGGCCATAACAGGCGATTTCGAGGGAGCTACCTCGTTTGCGAATCAGATACACAATAGTCTAGCATATGCTCTGGACTTTACTACTGATCGACAGTAGCTATAACCCGAAGCAGGCTGTAAACCCTAATGTCTTGCTGGTCTGTCTTTCTGCAACAGTGTGCACTCTGCAGGAATATTCACCACAAGGGAAAAGAAGATGTAAATTAGTCTTATGGCTTGAGTTCCAGCACATGGTTGCGGGATTTGAAAGTAAGATCAGGATCTATAGCCTTTTTTCCGGAAACCAGATATGTCTTTCGTTTTCTTTGGGAGGGGGCAAAGCACCCCGGACCCCCCTTGGAGGGATTCTGAGACTGCATCGAGCACCGGTGTCAAGCCACGATTCATGTGCAGGTGTATGTCAGCACAGGTCCATAGGGGGTTGATCGGTTGATCTGAAGTTAAACACTAAATGGGGCTGCCATCAAGCATTCAGCTTATGGAGATGACGCAAAACCCCTGCTAAAACATTGCTGAACTAAACCACGAAACCACGCTGACGTCTAGGTTCCGTATCTTGGCTACCTGAAAAAACACGCACCACAACTGCCGGTTGACAACCCAGCTGGGGTGTCGAGCCCATTGCAATTTGGCCAATGCAGGGACAGTCAGCACCTACATATTCAGTAAGTCAATTACGAAGTACGATTCTAGTTTTCCCTCCAAAGCACATTCAATACGAGTCTGTGTGTCCGGTAGGGACGGAAGATCTCCAGTACGTCCAGTACAAAGTGCTGGCCCCAACTTCGCGATGGGGTTGGTATGCTCTATCCAAACTGTGGCATTAGCAATATACTGTAAATATTATACTGTACACTGTACTGTACAAGGTATTTGGGGAAAGGCGATGGGATTAATATGAGTATTTCATGGCTGAGATTGTTAGCACACAAGTGGCCTAGTTAGTAGCGTTAGTCGCGGAGTTAGAACAAACAAATGGAGAGATTCTGTGGCGTTCACGAGGGATTGCCAAAAAAATACAGGAAGATGAAGGGCGTTGAATGATCGACTCGGGAGTCTAAAGTACTAGGTATTAACTGGTGTACTCCGTAGATACCTGCTCCTAAGAGTCTGGCATGAAGGGGATGCCAATCAACTCGTGTCTCGGTGGCAGCAACAGTTTGGAGGAGCCATTGGCGGCTGATTTCCATCCCGGCCTGGCTTTGTGATGACTACTACCTACCTTACTAGGTAGTACCTAGTAATAGCCTGGTGGAGGTAGGTACCTAGGTAGGTACCCCTCCCTACTGTAAGTGTTGAAGACGCCCGAGCGAGGATGGAATAATGAAGCGGAAGAATGACGCGGTATGAGTGAATGGAATGATAAAGGGTAACTAATTGGATTGATCTTGATTCTCAATATGAAGCTATTCGTAAAAGGATTGTTGAGAGGGAGGAGAAGAAGGAGGGAGAGGAGGATATCCCCCAACCAGGCCACCGCTTGCCCGATAAGGAAGGCACCACCTCCACCCTTGCACTTGCTACCTCAGTGTCTTACCTGGCATATCGGCGATAACAGCTGAGGGCTTTTGCTCTTTGCTGATTGTCCTACGCACATGGAGAAAATAGTGGTTGCTACAATTACACTAATGCATTGTACATCCACGCAGATCGTGCATGAACTACTCCTGATGTCAGGTTACTTGGAGACCACAAGTAAAGTAAGTGGTCAGAGGCTAAATTAGGAAGTTAGAGATTACTGTAGTATAGCGTGCATGAATAGGTCAAATTGCAAGTCGAACTTCCTACACACAGAGGGAGATAGGGTTGAAGAGTCAAATAAAAAGAATGGATGAAGAGCAAAAAAAAAGCTGCTTGGCTCATGATTTTAGAGGATGTTGATCGGGGTCGAATGTATTGTATCATTGCCTTGTGACGTATCCAGGGGAATGGTCCTTCTTTTGCCTCCAGATTGCGTCTTCTTGTCCTGTTTGCCTGTCTACATACTCATGTAGACCGCAGATCAGCCGCCAGCGGTAATATTAGCCAGAAATTCAATGACCACCGGAGATGAGACAACGCATCGTCCTATTTTTCAGATTGATGGTTCGCTAACTCTATGGAGCACAGTCTCCGTACATCTGGGCTTGCTCCAGTGTTGAGACGGAGCTTTCAGCATGGAAGGACCAAGAGCGCCTCGTTTTCATTCCCCCGACCCGGACTCCGAATGGATCCTCATACCGTGAGGCTAGAAGAAAGAACCCCACAGCACAGGGAAGGGTCAATAGTACAGTACTGTACATACGTACTTGACAATCCCAAGATAAAGAAGGCCCGGCCCGTCACTACTTTTTTTCTTTTCTTTTCTTTTTCTTTTTTTTTAACCAACACTCAATCGAGATTGCTAAGGTATTCCAATAGATCGATCGTACCCTTTTCTCATAGAGGCCATGTAAGAGTAATTATCACCACTTGATCAAGCATCCACCTTCTTTAACTCAACAGTGAGATTCGCCCTTAGGACTCTAACCAGGGCCCTTTAAAGCACGAGCATCGTTACTCGGTACCTTATTGTTATCCTGACTCGGGGAAAGGATGATAGATATATACCTAGTTATGGCGGGTATTGGTTTACTGGTTGCAGCATGATGACTACTCTGTAGTTACTGTCCATCATTCCAAGTTATAGGTCCCATATCCCGAGCTGTCACTCGACATGAGGGGCCAAGGCAACGGAACTTTACCTACGATAGCCTTGAGTGGCCGAGAAGGAGAGACCCTCCCCGCAGTGTCCACGAAGTGATCAAGAAAAGTCCATGGCGGACAATAATGGAAGGGGAGGATGGACGAAGGGAAGGGGGTTTGGGCGGGAAGGATATTGGCAGGCAGACAATTCCTTGTCGCCAGTCGCGGCTGTCGCAAGTTTTTTTCTGTCGAATTCTTGTTTTATTTTTACACAATAACGAATAAAATAAATTGATTTCAATTTTGCTTGCGGTGTCTCGACTAGTCTACGTGCTTAGGCTAAAGCATAGTGGTGGGTGGAGTGGAGCAGCGAATGAGCCCTCTCTAAAACTCATGTGCACGGGGAAGAGGAAATGACAAGGCCTGGGGCCCTGGGGGCCTGGGGGCCTGGGGGCCTGGGGTTGATGGACCTGAATTTTGAAGGCTGCACGAAGGCTGAAGGAAGGCTGAATGAGTAGTAGGTACAATACTGTACGAAATACTAAATTAGTAGGTAACTTACTAGATAGACCATGCATGTACTTTACTCCGTGGTCTGTCTACGGAGTGCTCCATGGGTACTCCGTAGGTAAGTAATTGATCGCCTGCGGGCGGTCCGTCCTCGGGATCTCCTGTCTAATTTCTCTTCTACTCCACCCAGCAAGAAACACATCAGCTTGATGTCAGTGGTTTGCTCACTATAGACTACGAACAGTCTACTGCTAATACGAGTAAGTAGATTTGGCATACCTCAGAGTCTGATGCTGATGAGCAGCAGCACAACCCCGTTCTTGACTTTGAGAATTCAATCCCATAATTGACATCGCCGCGTCCTCCTCTCTATCCGCATCCGTGCCTTAGAGCCACCCTGCCATGATCTACATACAATCAATCAGGTGATGATCGTGATCCTTCGAGCTCCCGAGGGATCCATGCTCTGAACAAGCCCCCATTCGCCGAGATAGATCCCGATAGCCCAGGTAGGGGCCTGCGTAAATGACTGGGGTATCCAAGCTGTTCCAAGAACCACGCAGTTGCGATACGAGAAACTTGATCTACTGTTAGGTAAGCAGCATGGCAGTCGAGAGTGAAAAGAGACAATGTCTTATCTTCATAAACGAGGGCTGTCATACCTCGCTATTCCGGTCTCAAAACAAACATGCTCGGAGCCTGGGATAGTCCTCCGTCGTCTCTAATACTACGGAATACGCAGTAACTTACTAGTCAGGTACAGGACTATGATTACCTTAAACCAAGCTACTACTACCGGTACTACTACTACTCATAAATGAACCTGTGTCAAAAGCTACATATTCCGCACCGCCTATTTGTGCGGAGGAGGGTCGACACCACGGAGTATCACTATGATGAGTATGTTCATACATACTTTACATACATAGTCATACGTACTGAATATGTGCCGTGTGCCTGTGACTCTATACAGTGTACTCTAACCGCTGCTAGCAAGAAAAAAAGAAAGAGAAAAAAAAAGTGGAAAGCCAAAAATGAAAAATAAAAAAAAGAAGGATAAAACCTCCGTATCCTTCAATGTGGTGTGGTGTGTGATAGTCAGTCAGCCCGATCGGAAGGTCACCACACATTCCGCGATTGGGCCAAAGTGTCCACGAGTACGGAGTACTCCGTACAGTAACTTACATGGTACTGGGTAGTCAGTCACGGTGTTCACCATGCAGCTCTCAAAAGGACCAAATTTTCGCCCCAGTAATGTCTGAGGTGCGAACGGGGCCAAAACAACAGAAGCAGATGGGTGAGAAAGTGAGAGAAAAGCTAGAGTAAGCAGAAGGTAGAGTGGAATAGATGAAAATTAAATAAAGTGAACAAATAATAATGGAAGCAGAAAAAATGTTCATCAGCCTCGAAGGCCTGGATCTTACCTACAATTTTGTACCCTGGGCAATCATCATCGATCTTCCCGTCTAAGACCACACTATTATCTTAGTAGGTAGGTAGGTACTGTAACTACATGTATGTATGTACACCACCTCAGGTAAACTCGAACCGCAATGATGGAACCAGTTTGAGCAATGTACGGAGTACTTACTTTAATACTGCACAGCCATTTATTTCAACCTCCAAGTACTGTACATTCTGACAAACTGGACAGGGCGAGGCGAAATTGAGATGGAAAAAACAATGCGACAAACCGAAGCATGGTACGGGCACAGCTGAGAGGCACTAAGTTA